ATGTTTAAATTTCTCTCTATTATGGACCAATTTATTCTTCCCAGTGTCTCTGTGTGTGTTTAATTATTTATTATATATACAGTGTTCTTCCTGCATATATATACATACACACACATATATACATACATACATACATACATACACACACGCATATATATCTACACACACACACATATATATATATACACACACACACACACACATACACACACACACACACACACACACACACACACACACCCGAAGAGAGCACCGGATGGTTGTGAACCACCATGTGGTTGCCAGAACTGAACTCAGGACCTCTGGAAGAGCACAACCAGTGCTCTTAACCCTGAGTCACTTCTCCAGCACACCTCCAGTATATGTTTTAAGCTCCTAATCCCCCAAGTGACTATATTTGGAGATAGGACTTTTAATGGGGGTAATTAATGTTCCATGAGGCGCTAGGAGCTATAATCCAACACGACAGGTGTCCTTTAAAAACAAAGTACCAACACACACGGACAAAGGAGACAAACCTGTACAGACAGAGGTGGTGGTCTGTGAGCCGCGGAGAGAAGCCTCGCCAGGAAGCGATGCTGCTTGTAACCTTGGACTGCTGCCTCCAGATCTGTGAAAATGGCATCCCTGTTACTCCGGCTGCCCAGTGTTGGCATCTTGTCAGAGAGGCTGTGCAGATCAATACCATGCGACTAAGATTCTTGTTCTGTAGTAATAAACTCAAGGGACTAGTGAAAGAGAATGTCTTTAATATTCGGTTCTACAGAGCTGGTTGCTAGTGTAGAAGAAGGGCAAAAATGGCTGGAATATTGATTTCTGTGGGATGCTGGCTTCTAAATGGGGAGAAACTCCTGCTTCTGACAGACACAGACTTCACAGTCTCCACACCTGACAAGCACAGTAACCACCTCAAGGTGCCTTATCTGATGAATATCCCCAGGCTGTGACACTTTCTTCTGATTAGAGGGATCAGTCATGTAGCAGCTGCCTGCCCCTGAGAGTCCTGAGACAAGTGGGCGCTGCCTGCCAGCTAAGGTAGAGAGAGGCCTAGAACCTCTTGCTTATCTGTGAGTCTTAATGAGTTCTAAGCATACTGTATACTGAAAACTAATCATTATGATTTATTTCTTAGGATGTGAACATACCGTCTCTGACAGCTCCATCTAAATCAAGTTCTTCTCATTATTCTTTCATTTCCTCGTGCAGAAAAAAATACACTACTCAGCATTATATATGTATTCCTTCAGGAGGTTAAGAGGCAGTGGAGTATGCAGAGTTCCTATTGGGTTACGGGATCAAATCCAGATTCTGCTATTTCACATGATGCCATCCTCATTATGAAAACACGAGTTTCTCCGTCTCTAAAATGGTTGTGATGGAAATGGATACTAAGTATTTCAGAGACTGGGGAGATGGCTCAGTTGGCAAACTGCATGCTGTGTGAGCATGAAAACCAGAGTTCAATCACTAGAACCCATTTTTTTTAAAAAAAAAAAAATTCAGATGTGATAGTATATGCTTGTAATGCCAGAGCTAAGGAGGCAGAGACCAGTGAATCTCTGGGGTTTGGTGGTCAACCAGCCTAACTTAATGCTTCCCAAGGACGAAGGAGAACCCGTCTCAAATAAACAAACAAAATCAAAGTGGATGGTGCATAAAAAACAATACCCATGGTTGATCTCTGGATGGTGCATAAGAAACAATACCCATGGCTGACCTCTGGCCTCCATACACACTGATAGGCATGGTGAGGGGCACATACCCTTCCACCATGTACGCTGTATACACAAAACAATATAGTTTCCACTTCAAAAGCACTAGAATAAGAATGAAAGAAGTCACCATGTACGTGCAAAGCCTAGATTAGTCCTTGGGACCATGTGACTATTCAGCAATCTTCTGTTGTTTATCGGCTGTTAGTCCGCTCAAATATGCAGTGTGGACAGGAACTTTGCCTTGTCCTTATGTGTTGACAGTGCCAAAACCAGGGCTTCTGAAGCACGCGCCAAAGCCAGAATAAATATTTATTACCTTCAAATGTGAATGGCAAAGGCCTGTGGGGCTTCTGTCCAAGTCCACAAAGCAGCGACCGCTCTATTACTTGAAACCTAAATTTCTCCTGATCTCAGAGTCCTTAATTTTGTGTGTACTGAGGAAGTGCTGCCAAGTGACATGACTTTAATTGGCATAGGTTAATATGCAAAGTTCAGAGGGCCAGTTAGCAAGAGCCAGAGAAATACAGGCACAAGCAGACTTAACGACTTAACATTGACATTGTGAGAGAATTCCCATTTCAGCGATCTTACCACCCACGCAATGAAACTAAACCAATTTCATCGGAAATTGGTGACCTTGATTTCTGTTCCTAACTTTTTTTAATTGGCTGTGTGGCTGTACGCAATCGGATGTTCTAGCAAACGGTCCACGGTGCTTTGGCACCTTCTGCTGATGAGCTAGAGAAATTTTCTGGCTCAGGGAGAGAATCCAAGGCAGATGTCTGGTGGCCTTGGCACGTGCTTCCATAGGTCGGTTAGCCAGAGACTCTTGAGCAGCAATCGTTACTAAGAACCATTGTAGGAGATAGCACGGCAGTAACTAGGAACGTTATCCCAAGTATCAGCTTCTGTAAATTGTGTACGCCTTAAGTCATGTAAGTCAACAGTGGCAGCACTGGTCACCGAGGAAACCAACAGGACAGTTTAACCCCCCACGAGATCGGCTCCTCTAGCTGCACCAACGTGCATTGGCCCAGTTATACTAATGGTTATTCCTCCATGGAACAGAAGCCTGGTAATGCTGGCACATGCCTTTAATCCCAGCACTTGGGACACAGAGACAGGTCTCTGCTAGTTTGAGGCCAGCTTGGTCTACAAAGCAAGTTCCAGGGACAACCAGAGCTGTTACACAGAGAAACTCTGTCTTGAAAAACAAAAACGAAACAAAACAACAACAAAAAACAAAACAAGAAACAAACAATGACCAAAACCAAAACAACAACAGAAAAGAATGAGCTACTCTTGTGTCTGTCTTGAACCCCTTATTTCTATCAGGTCCTCACGGGCTAGAGATTGACATCTACATGACTCTGTACCTTCCCACCCAAACCTGCCAGTTCATCTGGGGCCAGGTCTAGCTTTATATCCTGGCCATCACCATTGTGGTAGCCACACAGGACATTATGGATGAGAGCATAGTCTCTGGATGGAAATCCTGGCTTTGGAATTTACTATACGCCAGTATGGAATGTGCTATAGGCAAGGCTCTTGGTCTCATTTCTTCAGCTGTAAAATGAAATCCTTCTTTATAAGTTTACCATGAAAATTAAAAGAGATCGTAAACAAAATGTTCAGCCAGACATACAGTAGGTACCATTATTGTTAGCGGCACTGGTGAAATTTACTTCCGTCTACTCAATTAGTCAGTGAGAGCTGCTCTTATTTCTCTGTCCCTCCCTCCTTTCCCTTCTGCTAGCTTCTAGCTCATATCCATTGCATTTTGATTTCACACTGAGATAAACTAAGCCAAGTCATTTCATCTACTTTTTAAAGAGTTGCCATTTATTCCTAAAAGAGGAGTCTGTACATACCTAGAATCGAAGACCTTTGGTGGGTCTCCCTTGTCTAAACAGCATTGCCCTAAGCAAGGCCTTCAAGAGTCTGGAAGCTCTGATACCTTTCTTGGTTTTTTTTTTCTTTTGTTGTTGTTGTTTTATTTCAACTCCCAACATGTTCCATCTTTCTGCCATTGTCAATTCTTTTCCTTCCTGTCAGCCTTCTGACTTGTGTTTGTGTGAAGTGGACTGCTTTAGCTATTCAGACTCTATATAATGCTATCTATCTTTCTCACGACCGCAGCCCAGTCCCCTCACTGGAAATAGTCAGTCCCACCCCAGAGCTTTGCTTCTATGTGGATGGGGCTAACAGTGTTGTCATTCACATTCGCCATCTCTGCCCACACTCAGTTAAGTCTAGGCATCCAGGCAAGCCTTGCCGAATGGAAGGAAACAGAGCTACCTTTTAGCAGCTGCCTGACATTGCCCCGGTATGTCTCCAGCTCAGGGAGCTTCTTTGAAGCTTGACACTTTACAAATCAGCATCCTGGTCCAGCTGAAAGAGCACCAAAGAGCCATCTCAACCAAAAGCACGCAAGAATCCCAACAGCAACATCTCTCTGTGGAAAGAAGGAAATAAAATTCAATGAATGCAGGCTCAATACTGGTGTTCTAATACCTTCCTTCTTTGTCTGATGCGGACAGAGATGCTGTCAACTGTCATCTACTTGGGAATAACCCTCTCCAGTTGAATTTTTACTGAGGGGGCAGATTTCAAAGCTGGGACTGTGCGGCCACGGAAAGTCCCAGACAGAAGAATGTAGGTGGTTCTGAAAGTGCTGTATCGTGGACTCCATCAGCTGCCGATCAGCAGTGACCTAAGGGGTGGGACACAGAGAGGATATAAGCCAGAAATCATGCCCCGAAAATGGCTGTCCATCTTCCTCAAACTTTTGCAAATTCTGTAGAGATCCTTTGAATCAAGAAGCAAGTCTTTTAATCAGCCCTAGTAGTTCAACATCTCTGGCAATTCGCCACTCATCTGGCACAAAGGAACTCAATGGTAGTCAACCACGGAGGGAACCTTGACATTTGCAGTTGACTTCCTTTATTATTCCAGATGAGTTGTCATGACACCCATGTATCCTGCATTCACGGCCAAGACAAGTACGAGGGGACAGCACCCCTGGGTGTGAGCTCCAGCAGCCAGGAAAAGGCCTGGCCACCAGCCACACCACCACTCACCCTACTGGCTTCCTAGAAGACAAAGGGGAGGGGCTGTGACCTCTGATTTGTATACCCAGCTTCCAGACCAAAGGTCAGCTGCTAGTAGAGTTAAGTGATTGTTAAATAAGTGAACAAATCAATGCCCTTTCCAGAGAAGTGCTCAGAGAGGGACCAGCCAGGCAGTTTAGCATGAGGGAAATATGTTTTTCCTTTCCCAGCGTTTGTTATTAACTATGTGCATTGTTAGCATGACTATTCTGTCATTTTTAGCTCTGAAATTTAGGAAATGGAGTAAAGGATTTTTCTGTGTCTGGGACTATAAAGGAGGAGCAAACACATAGCAAGAAGATTTGCTGAAGTCAGATACTCAATCTCAGCTCAACAGAGCCATCCCAATTCCTGCTGGGAAATAAGTATCTCAGGGATAGCTTGGGAGACTTACTCTTCAGTTTCTCTATACCCTGGAGCTGAGTTACAGAGTAACCCGAAAACAATGCTTCAGAATTCACCCCACTAATAAACCAGAGCAAAGTTCACAACAAGTTCCATGGATAGATGTGCGGGGCAAAGGCCAGAGCTCCAGGGAAGGGCTACCACAGAGCAGGGACAGTCACCTGTCTTGAGCGAGGATCCCTGTGTCAGCCCCAGCTGTGGCAGGCCATGAGCTCTGTGTTATCAATCGTCTTGCAGGAACTCCCAGGCCCGTTCCTAGTCCTGGGGATCTTCCTGCCTGTGACTTTGCTGCTTTTCCTCCTGATTGCCTACTTCAGGATCAAACTGATGGAGGGTAAGTGTGAAGCCCCACAAAGAAAGGCTCATCCTTAAAACACACCAAAGCTCTGAGAAGCTGGTGAAACTTATCTTTTTGATGGACAGATATCCTCCCCTCAGCCCTCCCTTAATATTCTATCCCTGATGAACCAAAGTTAGATACTTTCAACTCTGTGGGTGGTGAGGTAGGTAGGGTTTGATCACTTGCTATAGGGACTTCTCTGTAGTTCCTGGAAGACAGACAACTGTGAACCAGCAAACTGGATACAGGATTGCTTGTTTCTCTCTTAAAGCAACAGATTCATAAGCATTATGCTGTTCATGGTCTGTGTCTTCTATGTGTTACTTTCAACTCTGTGGGTGGTGAGGTAGGTAGGGTTTGATCACTTGCTATAGGGACTTCTCTGTAGTTCCTGGAAGACAGACAACTGTGAACCAGCAAACTGGATACAGGATTGCTTGTTTCTCTCTTAAAGCAACAGATTCATAAGCATTATGCTGTTCATGGTCTGTGTCTTCTATGTGTCAGATGTATATGTGTGTCATAGTGCTTGTAAGGACTACTGTCAGTCACATGTATGCGGGGTTCTCACGAACACTGAGTGCCCCTGGGAGAAGCTAAAGGCTTCGGATGTGTTCTAAGCTGGGAAAGTAAGTCCATTGTATCATTCTCAAGTCTCACCTCTGCTGCTTCTTTGACAAGGTAAACTTTCACAACCTCAGAAACGTATCAACCACGAAATGAGGCACAGAGTAGGTCAACATGGTCTCACAGTACATACACACTCATGTGTGTGCATATGTGTGTGTGTGAGTATGTACATATATTCACATAAGTAAATATATACATGATATACACACACACTACACACACATGATCATGTGCATATGCACATAATATCCTCAGCCACCGAACTTCTTAAGAAATGTTCCAAACATTTTGCTATCAGTGTTTAGCCAATGCAAACCGCTAGACACCAGACTGGAGCAGAAACTTCTCAGAATACTATAGTGTTGTTGTATTTTTAAAAAAGACAAAATATATTCAGAAGCTTACAGTGATCTTCCATTGGCATGTACGTTCTGGATTAAGCTGGTGTTACAGAAATCAAAAGAGCTGGACCATATTTGAGCGGCTACTTTTTGATTTGGTTTTCAGTAAATATTAGAAGTCTTAAAGGGCACATCTTAGTAATACCACTAAAAGTCAACCTGCCTCTTAATTTGGAAAGTTTCATATTAAACTACTGAAAAAGCACATTTGAGAGCTAGCCAGGGTTGTGTGCAACAACCTAGCACTCAGGAAACTGAGGCAGAAGGTTTGCTTAAATTTGAGCAAGCCTGGGCTACAGCGTGAGAGCCTTTCTTAAAACACACGCATTTAATCCCAGCACTCAAGAAACAGAGGCAGGTGAATCTCTTGAGTTGGAGGCTAGCCTGGTCTACAGAGCGTGTTACAGGACAGCCCAGGTTACACAGAAAAACCCTGTCTTGAAAAAACAAAAACAAATGGAAAGTCCCTGCTCTTCTACAAAAACTTGCCAAGTTCAAGCAATGCCTTCCTGTATGCTATTAAGCAATTACAAATAACTGGTGCCAGCAGCAGAACAAATAGGGACACTTGTGTCTAAGGTGATACTTGGAACACAGAGAACACAGATTGCATTTCAAAATGCTGCTTCCCATCAGAGCCTACTGGAGAACCCTGTAGCCGTGGTTTTTAACCTTGCTAATGCTGCAACCCTTTAGTACAATTCTTCATGTTGTGGTGACCCCAGCCATAAAACTGTTTTCGTTGGTACTTAATAACTGTAATTTTGCCACTGTTATGAATTGTACATAGCTGTGCTTTTCTGATGGCCTTAGGTGACCCCTATGAAAAGGTCGTGTCCCAGAGGTTGAGACCCACTGCTGTAGCCTTTCATTTTCTGCCTCATTTTTACAAACAGCTCTCATGCAAGGTGATTAAGGGATATTGCACCATGCTCTACATGTAGGACCCATGTGATAATTTTTTTTGGCTTTTTTGAGATAGGGCTTTTCTGTGTAACAGCCCTAGCTGTCCTAGAACTAGCTCTTGTAGACCAGGCTGGCCTTAAACACACAGAGATCCGCCTGCCTCTGCCACCCAAGTGCTGGGATTAAAGGCATGCACCACTACCACCTGGCAAGCCTTTTCTTTATGAAGTGAGTTCACCGTTTACTATCCCCAAGATCAGTCTTCTGGAAATTCTGCACCCAGATATTTATGATTCCCAAGTCTTGGAAAAACTCCAAAACTAGGAAGGAACTGAAAATCAAGACTCACAAATATTTCCAGCAGGGTTCCTTCAGGCTTGCCCACTGGCTCACTGCCCAGGAGTGCAAACATTTCCTGATGGAAGACCATTCACAGTCATGAACTGCCCAACGTCAATCACAGATACCTGGGTTCCCACTGACACTGGGAAGTAGAAGTGGGTGTCAGTCAAGGACTTAAGTTCTTCACATACTTACATACTTAAGTTTTATCTACAGTTGCTTCTTTAGCAAGATAAAATCTATAGTGTATCAAAAAATGCATCAGGCACAAAATAAGGCAAAAAGGTCAGAAGAGTTTCTTGGATTTCAGTCTCTCTGCAGCCTCTGTTCAATAGTTATAGTAAATTGAATGATCCTGTGGGACATTTGGTAACTATTTGGCAGAGTCTATAAAAAGAAAACAGCTCAGTTTTACATCTTTTCTTATTCCTGGGAAAATATCTATAACACGAAAAACGTAACAGAGTACCCAGTGTTTTATGTAAGTATTTAGATATTTCTGAGGTCTAAGCAAATCAAACTCCTTCAAAACACTCCAGAAAAGCCAACCTGCAGTTGGAAGTGTGACCAGGCATCCCTGAAGACTGGGACAGGGCCATTGCAAACAAGGGGTTTGCTTAGTTAGCGTTTCCCTGCTGTGAGGAAACATCAGGTCCAAAAGCAACTTGGAGAGGAAAGAGTTTATATCCTTAATATCCTGGAAGCAGGAACTAAAACCGGGTAGGAATCTGGGGGCAGGAGCTGATGCAGAGGCCATGGAGAGGTGTTGCTAACTGGCTTGTTCCTATATTCTTATAAAACCCAGGGCCACCAGCCCAGGGGTGGCACTGTCAACAATGGGTTGGGCCCTCCTACACCAATCACTAATGAAGAAAATACCCTACAGGTTTCCTACAGTCTAATCTTCTAGGAGCATTTTCTCGGTTGAGGTTCCCTTCTCTCAGATGACACCAGCTTATATAAAACTGACTTTAAAAAATAGCCAGGACAGTGCCACTGTCCACACTGATTGGTGTAGAACTGCCCGATGTACACCTATCACTGTGACTCTTGCATAATGACCTCCATCTGTCCTCAGCATATCACTATCTAAGTAATCTGTCTGGAGTTGAAGTCACAATAAAAACCATATGACAATATTTGTAGCTCAGCATCCCCAGAAGTGTTGCTGAAGCATGTGCATGAAGGGAACAGAATAATTAGTATACTTCATCCTTCTTTCTCCGCTCACCCCTCCAAATGACAGGATATACTAGGGAGCTTGTCCTAACTCATAAGTTTTTCTCATGCCATCGGTCGGCTCCTTCCCTCTCAAAACATTGTAGCATAAGACTGAATGCAGAGGGCAGTAACACTGGGAGCCTCATATGATGGGGGACAGTCTGTGGGTGACATCCTTAAAACTCCTTAAAGCTTGCTACCTATCTCTAAAGTGCATTCTACCTCTAGATGGCCACCAGCCGTCAGTCATTCAACAGATATTTGTGAATCTACTTGAGCATCTTCCCATTCTTATGACTGAACACCACAGACTTATTTTTAAACAACAAAACCTATTTTTTATAGTTCTGAAGACTGGGAAACCCAAAGTCAAGTAGCCCCATTCCGAGAGGTTCCACTTGGTCTAAGGCAGCACACAGTAAGAGGGATGTAACTAAAAGACAGACACAGGGCTTCTCTGTGTAGGTTTGGCTGTCCTGGAACTGGCCCTGAAGAATAGGCTGGCCTTGAACTCACAGAGATCCATCTGCCTCTGCCTCCTGAGTGTTGGGATTAAAGGTGTGTGCCACCAACCCCTTGACTCATAGTTCTGCTCATCTGGGCCTAGAGCTTTAGAAATCACAATGAGCATGAAGTTTCAGTGTGAGCTTTGCTGGCAAATAAAATTCCAGTACTACTATATACTAAGGCTTGTCCTAGGCATATAGACTTTTGGGACCAAAAGGAAACAGTCTTCAATTTAGAAATCTACAAAATGCATCAGAAAAAATTAATCCAACATCAGATATGCAAATCCATATTTTTATTTTCTGATCTTGGCCTCAGACCAAGTTAAGAGTAAACTCTGTCCTTGAACCTAGCCAAGGCTGAATCCAAAATGTCAAAGCTGAGTCCTCTCACCAGGCAGGATCTTCTAAATACCTAAGGGATACCCCAATGATGGAATAAGCCACCTTCCCATTGTCACCCTCTATTGTTGGCTCTCAATGAAGTAAGTACATCCAGGCTGTAGGCAGGAAACCCAGGAGTGTGGGAAGCACCATTTACTTCAGTGAAACAATTCCATGCATCAGGCAGTTAAAACAAAGGAGGTCTCATCTGCGGCTTATTGCTTGAAAACTGTAGCTTTTTCTGTAGTCATTTCTAAGGGTGTGTAGTATTACTCCCTCTCCAGTTAGAAGGCAAACGAGATCCCTTGGCCCCAAATTAAAACATCACCAGTTTTATCCATCTAACAGTATCCATTTAAAAATTATAAACATATGGACAAATGTCATATAGTTAATCTTCTACCCAGGGCTACAGCAAAGTGTAATCATTTCTAGTTTGTTTCTGTAAAGAGAAGGACATTGACAGATTAACTGGTGTGTTCACAGAACCCCAGAGTTCTACACTCCAAAACAGAACACCAGCTTGTGTGCTTCATATATCCTAAGGTTAGACAGAGCGTCATTTTGAGATGTGATGGGTAGTGAGTGGAGGTAATGTCATCATTCAACATTAATCCCTACTCTTCAAGCCTTGAAGGTAATCATGCATGGAAATTTAATTAGTATGTAGAGAACATAAATTTTCTCACAAAGGAAGAAAGAAATTCTCTAACATCCTGCACACTTTAGTTTGTCATTTGCCTTGAGAAACAGCTCTTGGGGAGGAGGGCTGAGCCTTAAAACGTTCTAGAAATAGCCAGACCCTCTATCATCAGTGCCATGAACATTTATCATCCCTTAGGGTGCAGGTTGTGATTTTCATTTCTCTTCAGTATTCCAAAATCTCTACATCTAGTGCCACCCACCTTCCAAAGCATCAAGAACAAAATGTGCTCTAAAACAACCAATAGTACAAAAGCAATCACTTTATTAAAGTGTACCTGCTGAATGCCCAAACATTTAGTTAGATATAGAATAAGTAAAGCTAATTAGCATTTGAATCTGGAACACAGCGTCCCTACATAATCTAAAACTTCAAGCCTCCTCACCTTTAAGATAGAAATAACAGCAGCAGGGTTCAACTATGGGGTCAGTGTGAGTAATGAGCTGCTAGAGAATGTAGTTGATTTTTTTTTTTTTTTTTTTTTTTTTTTTTTTTTTTTTTTTACTCTTTGGGAGCCCACCGCCAAGCTCCCAGATAAATACGTGGGGACTTGTTCTTATTTATGAATGCCTGGTCTTAGCTTGGCTTGTTTCTAGTCAGCTTTACTAACTTAAATTATCCCATTTCTCTTTAATTTGCCTCTGGCTTTCCACTTTAATTTATTCTATGTATCTTTCTTTTCTTCTTATTCCATGGCTTGCTATGTGACCCCTGATGTCTTCCTCTTTTCCTTTTCTTTCCTTCTTCCCTGGATTTCTCCTCCTATTTACTCTCCCTGCCTCCCAGCCCCACCTATCCTTTCTTTTGCCTTGCTATTGGCCATTCAGCTCTTTATTAGACCAATCAGGTGTTTTAGGCAGGCAAAGTAGCACAGCTTTATAGTGTTAAACAAATGCAACATAAAAGAAGGCAACATATCTTTACATCATTAAACAAATATTCCACAGCCTAATCAAATGTAACACATCTTAAACTAATATTTCACAACAACAGAGGGATTCCAAACAATCCCCATGCTGGAAAATGGTAAACCGTTATTACTCCCGCTGGCTTATAAATCCCAAGAAATCACCATTTGTGTCATTATAGGCATCATTAAAATTGCCTTAGAATAATTAAGACACCCTAGGTGACTCACCTGGAAGGCAGGAGACAAGATAGGAAACCTGGCTGTCTGGCTCCACAGCTAACTTTCTTAACCCACACAAAACCAGGCAGGTTTCCTATCAACTAATTTTTTGTTTGTTTTTTGACCCAGGCAAATAAACTCACTACCAAGTTGAAAGACAACTGCGGAAAAAATCTATGAACAAGGGAAGAATGTTTACAAAAACTTTGGATGGGTTGGTCTCTTAATATAAAAGAAATACAAATTAGGTTGATTTTTTTTTTTTTTTTTTGATTTTCGAGACAGGGCTTCTCCGTAGTTTTTTTGGTTCTTGTCCTGGAACTAGCTCTTCTAGACCAGGCTAGCCTCGAACTCAGAGATCCGCCTGCCTCTGCCTCCCGAGTGCTGGGATTAAAGGCGTGTGCCACCACCACCCGGCTTGGGTTGATCTTTTAATATAAAAAAACTACAAATTATTCCTAAAGTTGGCAATTCTTCACATAAATATCTACCCCAAGCCAGGGAGATTATTTACCCATGGCCCAACAGAAAAAGATCCCTACTGCTATATTTTCTATAACAAACCCAGGTACTTCTTAAAGACACCTGCTTAATTTCTCTCTGAATGTCCTCCCTAATAGACTCCTGGGATTGATAGCCTAGTTATAAGCTCTTTTTGGAGAGAAATAAATTACTTCAATTCTTATTTTCTAGAGAGAATCTATGGCAGTCAGTTTAGTCACTGGCTAGAAAACTCTCTAGAGCACACTAAGCTTTTCATCCTTCATCCTAGATCACTGATTTTTATTATTTACCCCTCATCCTTCAATCTCTGATTTAGGGGATGATGTATCCAGGTCAGTGATGTATATCTTTGTCCATCATTCAAAACACTTATTATGCAATTGGGGAAGAAATTACTCCTATTTCAATGAGTTCATAATCTAAACCAGAGATTATCTCAAAGAAGTATCTTTGAAATAGCAAATCATCTATGTGGAAAAGCAATATAACTCAGCAGCTGAAAGTACAGACTCTAAAGTCAGGCTTCCTGGTATCAAATTCCAAATTCATCCATTTCTGTAGTCTTGGGGTAAACTGCTTTATCATGGACTTTCTCTGACCCAGACTGCTCACTCATAAATCAAGAAGCAACTTATGTCACTGCAAGAATTAGACAAGGTAACACATGCAAAGTTAGCATAGTGTATCTGGTACATAGCTGCTGAACAAATACTGCCTATTCAACCTTGTGGCTCACATAGCACAGGGCATGTCCTCATTTGAGAATATGGAGCAGCCCCTAAGCATCCAAGATAGGTAGGAAATGTTCCCTAGGTGCATGGTAAAGGACTGATGGAATAGATTGATACCAAGAATACTGTCAAGGCCAATTTCGTAAGCATTCTATTAGTAAGTGATGTTGGTGGCTATGAGAGGCGGTGGAGTATTGTTTGGTGTACCAGGAACATATACGATTATATATTAAGATCTTAACAGAGATCTCAAGGTTTAAAGCAAATCTGGTTCCTGACGTACTAGTTGAATACAGGAGCAGGGAGAAGGCCATGTGCAAAGCAAGCAGGTGGGAGTCGACAGTGATGAGAGTAGGTCGGTAAGGCTATGTTGATGCTACCAAGAGGAAACTGGGGACTGCGGAATGCCAGTAGGTTTAGTAAACTGGCGTAAGTAGGATGCCACTTAAGACTTTTAATATTTTAGCAGAACAGTTTTTATCTAAATGCTTTTGAGAGATTAAGAAATACATAGGCTCTGAAAAGTTGAAAAATTCCAAAAGCCTAATGTTCAAAGGGAAAATCAGTAAGTTGACTTGTTTAAGGGTCACACATACCCAAGTATATTTTGGGAAAGGAGAAAGGACAGAAATCTTGATTCTCTAATTCCTATATCTTTATCTCTTGGCCTACACATGTTTAATGGTTTCCCGAATATGATAATCTAAACATCTGCTAAACAAGATACTTACATGTTAATGATCTTTAATACATTGGTCATCTGTCCTAACCAGGAACATTCATTTGAAGTAGTCGAGGAGGGCCAAAGATGGTTCAGTGGGTAAAGGTGTTTGCTGTCAAGCCTGATGACCTGAGATTGATCCCTAACACCCAGACAATGGAGGGTGAGACTAATCCAAGCTCCCCTCTGATCTCCACGTGCTGTGCCATGTTTATGACTACACACACAGAGAGAGAATATTCAAGTTTTTTTTTTAAAGGAAGCTGAAGAGATCAGGTCCCACCGTGGAGATCCATATAGCCCAGAGGGTTACCAGTCAGAAATACTGGCCAATAGCTTCAAGCAAGTTGTCTACAAATTAACCAATATCCTTCCTTTCAGTTGATGAAGAACTGTCTCAAATTTCTGATCGCCAAAACAAGTACAGTCCTTCCCTATACAGGCGGATGAGACGAAAATGACTGTGGGGATCATTCAGTGGACAAAGAACCATGAATTTCACAGGCCACAGAACAATGGTCAACAGATCCATAGGGAAATGAGAACAATGGCTACATCAGCTACTACTAGAGGACTTCTGTGTGATCTGATGTTAATGGCAGTTCTTCAGAAAGTACCAAGGACTTAAAATTTTCTTTCATATGCTCAATGCATGAGGCACATCTTGAGTTTCTTTTGTTATGACTGTGTTTATTTACTTGGAAGAATGTTTTTAAAATAAAATTTGTAGACCTAATCATATCACTCTTTGAAAGCTCACATAGTTTTCCCTTTAAAGGTAAGGAAAGACTGAGAGAAATCAAATGGTGCTGTGGGAACTCCTTCAGCCAATAGCCTTTAAGATACCTGCCCACTATGGGAGTGGTCTCATGTGCTATAAAATGCAGATGAAAAGCGGCACCAGCCTCTTGGCTGCTGGATTCCTCCTGTTCCCATGGCACACAGAGAACTGTGGATCACTCCTCTTTCTGTGAGTTTATCCCCAGATGAATAAACCTTTGTTATACTCCATTCCAGGCTATTATGGAACTCTTTTGTATGCCAACAAAATAGCAAAAGATGGTGCCTGGAGGAAGCCCTATGGACGCTTTACACCAGAGTCCTTCCATTTGGCCCTCTAGTCAGTCTGAAACATGGCCGTTTCAAACAGCATTCAAGACCTTTGTGTCTTTTCCTTTCCCAACTGCTTCATCTCTGTGGCGAGCTGCAACAAAGAAGTGGAGTCGCAATATTAGGTATGGGTTATTCACCAACATAGTTCTCTGTATGGTGGAGATATTAAGTGGTACCAGGGAAAGGAAGAGAGGACAAATGCTCTTCTAATACCCCAGGAGAATAATTCAAATTTGTTTAAGTAAAACCCAAACGCCATACCTTTCTAGTTAATAGCAACAAAATGTTTAGTACACCCTATCCCTGGCTATTTTCTAACCTTTGCACATGACTCCATTGTGCTTTGAGTGGTTTACTTAAGAAACAGCCAGCGTGTGTGTGTGTGTGTGTGTGTGTGTTTAAATGCATCAGTTTTGGTAGTGACAGTCATACAAGCATACAATTGTAATGATCAAAAGTCAGAATGTTTCATTGTGGCCTGATAATTTCCTGACTCTTCCTTTAGGCACCATCCTGAAATTCTTCTTCTCAGGCATCCAGTGAGTTTTCTGGTGGCGCTTCCATTTTAATAGTGTTGGGAGCTACTGGGGGCTGCAGACCCAGACCCTGAATTTCCTGTAAACAATTTGTTTTCCTCTGCTGAGCAGGCTGCAGCTGCTCTGAACATGAGACCCTGATGGCAGGGGAGTGGGTTCTGATGGGTCTGCAGCTGAAAGATCTCGAAATCTGGGGCATAGGCAGAGCCCTATATAAGTTGCCTCTGAGCTCAATAAAGTTGGCATTCTTGTATCAAGAGTGACCCATGTCTCCGCCTGTCTGTGAGTCTTTAATTCTTAGGCCGGTTCCCGATTCGTGCAACCGATCCTGTAGTGACACGGGAGCTACAGAACTGTTTTAGGTTTTTACATAATAGCACTCAATTATATCAAGAAGATCTGTTGGGTCTTTCAAAGTTGGGTAGTTCCTAAGTGCTAATGCCATATGGAAGAAATAACACTATTCCTTCAGTTCTGGGAAGGATCTCTTTTTAGCCCCTGGTGGAAGCAGTTTGTGTAAAAATGCTTTCTTCAACAGGAGGTGTGAAAGGACACAGCAGAGTCCCATCTTGGGCAGCTGCCAGCCAAATGTGTGGCTCAGACATCACAGTTGCTCCCTCTTCTTCCAGAAACAGAAAGTCTGAAGTCCAAGCTTTCGCTTTGAAGGATGCTTGACCAAGTGGTGCCAGGATTACAGGCACAATTCACCATACCCAGCTTTACGCCTGTTCTAGTTTATCATCTTTTTTGTTCTTGTTGTTTTTAATTGAATTAGTAACTTGGCAGTTTAACATTGCCCAAGATGATGCTTCAAAGGCTTCCAGAAGTGGAATGTTAGTCCTGGCCACTCCACATCCTGAACCTAGCTGGTAAGACAGAAAATTAGGCATAGAGGAATACAACACATGAAACGGTATTTGTAATCTCTTACCCACAATATAAAAGTTAATCTTTCCAAAGATTTCAGTGCTTTGAGGTAGCAACAAGAAAGTCAACAACAGAATTTTCTCGAAATCTCAAGTTCTCTGGCAAAAGTAAACCTTAGAAATCAGAATTCATACCTTATAACTGCCAGAATTTGGAAATGTTAAATGCATTTCAGATTAAAAATTTCAAAGCATACTCTAAGATGCTATGGTTTGAATCTGCAATGTCCCCCACAGGTTCATGTGTTGTGCATTTGTCCCCCTCATTTCATTTTGAAACTATGGGTAGAGCCATTAGGAGGTGGGTTGTGGTTGGCAGAAGTGGAACATTATGGCTGTGGTCTTGAAAGTTATACCTGTCCACGGTCCTGCCCTAATAGGGAAATCTTTGTCAACCAATTATCTTTAAGAGGTGGGACCAAGTTAGGGTGTGGCTTTCTGGGTACTGGGCAGCCCAAAGTTTGTTCTCTCTGTGGTTCCCACTCTACACTGCTGAGCTTGGACTTCTTCGTTCCTGTTTCATGAGTTTGCCCTTATAATAAAGAAAAATATAACGGATCTATCTTTTAGTTAGCCTGTTTTTTCTCAAGCCGAGATAATTCCACACTGCCCTGAATGCCTTGCTTCCTTTTTGGGCATTAAGAGATAAGTGCCACACAAGCCTGCTTGTGATCTGCTCCCCTATGCTTGCCTCACTGTGACAGACTGTAACCCTCTGAACTAGTAAGACAAAATAAACTTCCTCCTTTAGATTCTGAGTTACCAGTGTCAGGTTACAGTGCAGATCCTACTATGAATGACCTAAAAGTGACTGGGGCAGGAAGCAAACACTCTTAGGATTTTTATTTTAATTAATAAGATTAAGGATTTACAAATATTTCTTTCTACTTAAAAACTTCTAATCTGTTTCTTGAAACTCTTGGATCTGCTTTCCTACTTACTCTGCCATTTGGTCCAGTTTACAAGTGAGATGAAGACATTCTGAAAATCCCTTTGTCAGAACACAAGTACAAGGTATTTTAAAAGATAGCTTCCTTTTATTGATGTTCCCACCAGGGGTAATCATCAACACTGTGCGCCAAGCGGCTCTTTGGGCACTATCTCACTAAAATGTTCCAGATTGCTCCAGGACCCCTGTCTGCACTGCCTAGTCCACAGGTGCGGTAGAGGTACTTTCCATCATTGGTATTATCAGGAGGTCCATGTACAGAAGAGTGCTCAGTCCCCATCACAGGAAGGTCAGTAGATGATTTGTTTTTTTGATTTTTCGAGACAGGGTTTCTCCGTCGCTTTTGGTTCCTGTCCTGGAACTAGCTCTTGTAGACCAGGCTGGCCTCGAACTCACAGAGATCCGCCTGCCTCTGCCTCCCGAGTGCTGGGATTAAAGGTGTGCGCCCGGCCAGTAGATGATTTTTAAATGAGTTCCCTAATACTAACTTTTTGATGGAAAATATATGTACAGAAGCACATTTGGTTTCATAATATTCCAATATTTGGCTAGCTGAGACAGCCTTCTCTGGAGAGTTGTTTCTGTAACAATTGGAAAGAATGTGAGAAAGGCCTTTCACAAGTTGAGACATAATTTAGCAGGAACAGATCTCAAAGAAGACAGCTTTACAAATTATATTTCCTGTGCTCATTTTAAATGACCACATAAAGAATTCTATATAACATTTCAAGAAGATTGTACTCTTTTTCTGTGTAAAGTGGTATGCCTTGGTGAGAGCTTCCCAGTAAGCCATTCCAATTACATTTGGATGAAGTCCCTCAGCAAGCTTGCTCCACCCGGTGCATGGAGACACAGTGGACATAAAGTAGCACATGGAGCAGAGCAGCAAGGCACAAATGGTGCAGCTGAAATCTTCCTGAATGTACACCAATTAAAGGTCAGATCTCCCTTGCAGAATTCAAACAAGTGAGGAGCACCATTTAACGAGGTACAAGGAATCTTTCCACAATGCTTTCACTAGCTCAGATCGCTGATGCTGGCAGCAGCAACAAACTAAAACAAGCAAGCAAACAAACACAAAAACAGAGCTTAACCACTCTTAAAATGCTATTAAGTATTTTTAAAAATACTAGATTTTCTGATGGAAAAGTCACATTCCAGTTTACTTCTTTGATGTTTATAAAAAGAAGTGACAAGTTTATAGAATAAACAAAGTTTTATTTTATAACAGTATTACATAAAGCAAAATATCATTTAATACAACTTGAAGCTGCTATAAATCTAACCTGGCATCACTAACTATACAGTCAAAAGCAAATGAAAGACATGTTCAATACAGTTAATAAGTCCCTATCAGGTCTCTGGTGTCAGCTTTAAATGGAATAGCTTTCATATAACCAACAGAACCCCCCACCACTGTCCCCAACCCTCTTATCCCCAGCATCTTCAAACCTGTGAGTTATCAAACTATCTTAAAGAGATATATCTGCACAGTAACAAAAGGTCAGTTTTACATGTAGACAAAGTTTAATACAAAGCAAGTGTTCTACTCAAGTGTTCAAATAATGGGAAGTACTGAAACTGGAAAGGTTAAGACAGAAAGCACTAAGGCTTTAATTTAAGCTGCCTGATTTTCTTTTAGTAGGAAAAGAGAAGGGCACGTTCTGTGGTTCTCCTCCTGTTCTGGAATGCTGTGGCAAAGCATATGTCTGAGAAGTACTGCACTGTGGGTGATGGTCTCTGAACACAGTGCTTGTTCAGTGAGCTTCATAATTCTCCAGTCTAGAGAGTCTCTGACTTTACTAAAATACAAAGTCACAGGACTGGAAAGTCAATATAAAAGTCATCCATAGTGTAATTCCCAAATATTAGAAATATTTCAAGATGTAAAAAATGCTCCGAATTGGTATTAATCTGTCCTCATGCAGTACATTCACTGCAGTCTGAAAACTGCAGATACCGACTGTACGAGTACAATGGAAACTACTTCAAAGAGAGAAAACCACTATCTAAATTAGTCAGAGTTTCCTTTCCATATAACAGCACCTGTTCAAGTGAACAGCACCTTACCAGCCCGAGCTGGTTGTGTTCACTGTCATTTGAGCAAATGAGTCATAAAAAACAGGTAGGAAAAGGAAACAAATACAAAACTCTTAACAAAAAACAAAGAATTAAAAAAGAAAAAAAGACAGAAAGAAAAGAGGAAGAAAGAATATTTAGAAGTGGTTATAAAACAAATAATATATTAGAGATACACGGGACAGTATGGACCAGAGCTGTTAAGGTAAGGTTTGGTGTTGGCATTTTAATTCTTCAGGCTTCTGGCCATCGTTACCAGTTGTAGCACAAAACTGCTGGAGTAGTGAAGACTTGGAATGGTCAAAGTTCTTCAGATTCATGAAGTTGAAGGTTCCTTTTAAAAAAATTGACTCTCTAGGAAAGAAAAACAAACAAACAAAAAAGACATAAAGCTTATTCCAAAAACAG